GGCCAAGTACAGAAGGATGCCAAGTGACACTTCAGCGCGCACTAGGTCTAAAAGCGGTACTACTAAGAAACAGCTGGTGCTCCGCACACAGCTGTAACAGACGCTCGCCGTTGTCCATCCGTTCGGTGTTAAGCCCATACTTACCACCAAGTTCAGCTCACAGTAGATCTCAGAGAATATACTTGCGCAATCACATCCTCTGCAAGAACTGTGATATCTGAACTGGTAACACTGAGCAGTAGCGTGTCCAATTCGTCGTAGAAAGCGTCCTTCACAGCACCAGAGCTACAATCGGTGGCGGCATAAGCGGAAACTACAAACAAACATCGTCTAGTGATACTTCGTGAATCAACCTTAGCTGATGTTGTCGAACGGACTACACACAAACGGCTGCTCACGGGAATCCAATCAACCAACGATGACTCAGCCTTGGAGCTGAGAACAATGCCAACCCCAGCTTGACCAGTGGTTGCCGCATCAGCGTCTTCGGATGCGTGCAACCAATAGCGAGAGGATAAACCGAGTGCAGTTAATTCGACAGCCCCTTGAGCGTCATCGATCCTAGTTTCGGACACACAACAGACGTCAATACTCAGCGTGCCTAAAGTGTGTGCGAGTGCAGTCTGCTGACCAATTTGTCTTAGATTGCGAACGCTGAACGCCAACAGGGAAACGGGACAGCGTGGTCTTACGAGGAGCTATTGTGGGTGTTGCGGGAAGATACCTGCAGATAGTTCGACTCCAGTGACATTGCGGCTGCTGTCTAGTAAACTGGGAATTACGGGAGGAAGATTAGTAATGGGGATTGGGAGGAGTGTCAGAGAAAAGGTTGAAAAGGAAAGAAGGGAGGCGCCAGCAGTAGCATGTCTTCGCTTACCCGCCGTGCTGTATGCAACAGATAAGGCGACCCTTGATAATCTGCACGACCCCCGAGGCGGGATGTGGTTAAAGTTCGGGGAAATAGTCATGGTTGTATGTGGGCTGAGATACCGCCAGGGCGGCCAGACCTAGAAAAGAGGACGACTAGGGTCCTCAACCAAAGCCGTTGGCTCAAAAGCCAGCCCGCAAGGTAGCACATGGGGTAACGATTTGGTTTTACAGAAATTGGCACCATCCCATTTCAAACTTCCCAATTGGAGGACCAGGAGACAGAGTAAATTTGACCTCTAAATACTGATCAAGCGTTTAGGAAAAGCTCTTAAGAGGCCCAAGGGTCCCATCCAGTATAGCTCATTGGGTCAACGAGGTAGGCAAACCGCCACATCACGTTATCGTCTAGTCTCATTGCAACGGACAGTTTGGGTTTGAATAAATTAAAATCAACGATCTTGAGAGTTTGTAATATGGCTGATATGGACTGCAAACGTCAGCGTCTGGAAAAGTGTTAAAACGCTGCACCCGCAATCGACCGGTTGATTCCCGCCTGCTGGTAAAGCTGAGCCCTTACGCCTGCTCTGTTTGACATCTTGGCATAACCCGACAGGAAGGAAGGCAGAAGAAGACTCAGCCGACCAGAGTTGTATTAGGACCGAGAACACTCATAATTATATGTCGGTCTCACCAAACCTCTAAACATCGCCTGACGGATTTGGCTGTACGCCCACGCTCCACAGTTGATTGTCCGCTCTGTCTGGCCAGTTCACCGTCTTGCTCGGGCACGCCAGTCTTCATCCGCCTACCGGGGGCATGGCAACGTACGTGATGTCTGATGCGAGATTTCATCAGCTTTTGGCTGGGCCCTGACAACACGCTCGTAGCGTCTGTCCCAAGTACGATTTGTGGCGAACACGCGCGCATTGGCAATCAGCTTTCTCGCCCAGCTGTCAAAAAGTCACCGAAACATTGTTTCCCGGCCATTTTCTAATGTTTAAGCGGTGAAGCTGTGCAGCGATTTTTCCGTTCTGAATCTGTCCTCGCCCTGCGTACCCAGTTTAATGTCATTAAATCAAATAGAGAACCCCAAAATAAGTCCGCAGTTAGCACTGTCCCGCGAACACTGGAAAAAATAACTAGGTTCATCGAGGAATCTCAGTCAAATGTCGGAAAGTTGAGTGCATATAATGTGGATACTAGATGCATTAAATTATAGCGCAATAATTCGTTTGCATTATCAATTCCATCCTTCCTCGCTCTTCGGAAACACCTTCAAAGCAACGAACAGATAAAGCGGGTTCCCCTATTCCTATCAGTAGTGTTCCCATTAAATGTATTCCTTATGCATAAGGATTAAAGAAAGGAATACGCGCTTGCAACAGTGGGGTAATGACAACTCGCTGGTTGTATCTTAATGCAAGTCTCAACAAATAGGATAGGTCCAAGAATAGACAACCTGATGTAATCCATAGCTTACTGCCGCCCACTGAGGATCTAAAAAAATCCAGGGAACAGTGTCTTCAAAAGGCATATGGCTACGAAATACCCGGTTGCACATCGACCTCCAAGTGCATGTGCCAAAAGAACTTGGTTGCTTGAAGCAGACCAAAAGAGCACAAAGGAAAGCAAAGGTCTTCGGAAATTTCGATGAACCGACCCTTCCGAATATGTTTGGCTCGTACGTTAGGCCGAACGTGGAATACCCTGTCCAAGCGTGGCATCACTGGCAGAAACGCTACCTCACCACGCAGTGTGACAGAAAACGTAAAAGGATTGTGTCACCTTTTTTATCCATCCAGGCTGAAATCTATAAAAGTGCAAAAGAGACGTTAATGGCTTCTACGGGTCGATCTCATAGTGCTGTACTAGGTAGTAAAATATCCCAACTATGCCCGCAACCGTCTTTGGAAAGAGCCAAATCATGTATCTAAGGGGCCATCAATTAAGGCTGGCTACGCAATATAGCCGGCTGGAATGTCGACGAAAGGTTCTCTCTCTCCAAATGTCATAGTGCGGAAACGCCCACGTCACGCATGTAATTATTGCTCCCTCCTTGTTACCATTCAAAAAACGACTTGAGAACACTGACGCATTTACAATACGTGGTGCAGCATGAGGCTATCAGCTGACGACCTCAGTGGATAACAAATAACAAATAGAGTCCGGAGAGGAACACGCTACTGCAAACCTCTCGATGAGTCATGTATCTTGCGCCTTCTTTTATCAACATTGTGTTTTTTATCCTGTAATCTTCACTCTAACCATTCTGCGGGAATTGATCTGCGTTTTTATCCGTTTTAAATCATGGTCCCATGGAGACACACTTGCTGATAATAAGGTTTAGCGAGTGTGTCAACTGTGATCGAAGAACACCTATGCAATCTGTATGCCAGCGCACCTAGATACGCATTCGAAACAGCTAGCTTCGTCAACTGGCGGGCGTCTATGCACTCACAACGTCGCCGCATACTTTCGACGAAACGAACTCGGAGACCGGCACATGCAAGTGCACGGTCGGAGTCCACGTTCGTGCTCCAAATCGAGTGCCAGTCCTGGATTTGGTCTATCCGGCGCTAATTGATCGCGAGGTGGTGGATTTACGTTCGTTGTCAATCCGACGTCGCTAGGCTCCATGTCGCTCTCCTGAGGTTATTGTGTCGAAGTCAGTACTCGCGAGCGCTACACAAATAGCTTCATACAAACGTAGCAACCACTCACTGTTATCATTACGTCAGCGTACATTATGGTAGCCATTCAGATGCAGCTCGCAAGTGAACGGTTCTGAGGAGAGTTCGGATCCCCAACCAGCAATACTGCATCTGTGCTGTGATGAAAGATGACAAAAGTCATTATTCACCAAGGCAGAGCTTCAGTTTGTGGGGGTATATGCAGCAATGATATACAGGAACCTAATGTCCCCGATTGACATTTGAACGTGCCAGCCAATGGGACGGCGCACACCTAGCTAGTAATTTGGATTCAGTCGACTAGAGCAGCTTCAGTCCTAAAGCTCCGAGCAATGCCCATACCAGTTTGACCGGCATTCGAAGCTACATTATTTCTGGATAGTCACAGTAAGTAAAGCTAGTGTGAAATGAAGGGGAGCACAGAGTACTGAACTTGTCTTGCAGCCGGGTTTCCGATAAGTAGCAAATCAAACGATAGCCATCAATGTTTGGGAAATTCTTGTCTGTTAACAACGTATGGATTGAGGCATACCAGCCCTAGCAAGGATCAAGTACTTTAGATACAAGCGAGTGAACCGAGATTGCGAACTTAGTGGAAGATGGATTTGTCGACAGGCCAGGATTGACGCTCCGCGATTGCACGTGAGTTAAAAGTAGAAAATAATTACCTACTAAAGTAAGGTGGGGAAGGGTAAAAATGGGGGAGTGGGGGCAGGAGTGATAAAAGTGAAGTTTGAACAGGACGAAAACGATTAAGAAGCGCACGAGCAGGAATAAGAAGACGGGAAGGTCTCAGCAGCGGTACCGTCACCTTTATTAGCTCTACCTGATGTAGGATACAGAGCCTCGTTGATTATCCTCTGCGACGGCTAGAGCATTAACAATTCGTGTGAAAGACAGTTCATTGTACTGTGTGGGTAGGATACTGTCAGGTTGCGCAGGCCTAGATTGGAGAAAGATTAGGATTCTCAACCAAAGCCCCTGATACAAAAAGGTGACCACAAAGCACCGAGAGTTTGGTAATGGGCTACGAGGAGCCCGTTTTCGGGAATAAGGAGTCCCTTCATTCTAATCCCTAAGCTAGAGGTCCAGGTGACCGAAGGAGCAAGAAGCACCACAAAGGATATTATACTGGATCATCGAAGCACGAAACTCATCGGCGCCAGGAAGAGGCCCAGCTATGTTGCGATAGAACAAACCAGACATCCTAATGGAGAAGGACCTGACGGATTCAATCGATGAGAGCCACGGGGCGAAGCGCGCATAAAAGACAAAACAAAAGTAACAAGAGCGGACAGATAGGCACAAGTGTTGTGTGACACATAAGCACCAACAGAATATTTGAAAAAGCCGAAAGTATTCATGCGAACACCCATTCATTGTAACGAGTGAAAATGACGAAAAAGCAAGGAGGCCAATGTGAACTGGAAAGCAACTAACCTGGGTTAGAGGTGACGTCTGGTATCAGTTTTACCTCAGCCGTCAGTGCAGACTGCACGGCAGCATCGCTGCGGGAATCGTACACGATCCATTTTGGATTGATGAAAGCCAATTCACCAGAACCGGAACTAGCCGCGGCCAATACAGCCGGATGGTAAATTCTGAGACGGCAAACAGCACGCGAATTGGCAAATAGAGTGGCACGTTGAATGTCCAACACTGGCAAAAGTCGAAGCTAAAAGAGTGGATTGATAAAGAGCTGAGAAGTTAAGTAAACGACATGGCAAAGAAGCGAGTGACTAAAATGTCATGTTTAAATATCATAAAGTAGCGGATTTGTGAGGGTGAATCTGTATTAGTGCAGAGTCCAGAGAGGAGAATGCGTTTGGTCTACTCACCTGAGTGCCCTTTTCCTCGAGATAGATGGTTCGATCATCATTCTGACGCCGCATGGTAGACACATCGGTTCCATTCCAATCCCACGTCTGTTTTACGTGAGCTATGCTATATGGAGCTAAATCCAATTTGCAATCAAATGTATGCGACGTGCTGCTCAAACACGGTGGTCCACAAGGGTAGTTTGCTGGGGAATCCAGTATTCGCGGACGAGCTGGAGAATGAAGGAGAGAGAAGAATAGTTAAATTCTGTGTCAGGAAGGAGGGTTTCCTTATACAAGTAGTACAAGTGAGGTCACAGGGTGGTCCCAGCGTAGACTGATAGCATACATTACGATGTTTGTAGGTAGACCAGTACGTAAGATGAGTGGTGGCTGAAAAACCACAAGGTTGGTGAAGGAACCAAGTGCCGAGTCGAACCACTTCAAAGAAACATAGCATCATACCACCACGTAACTTTCAAACATCGAATGCGAGCAGAAGAGTGCTGCATGGGTCTTACCAGTGAGTATCGACCTGGTAGCAAAGGTGGGAATAGCATTAAAAAGAGCGGAAAAGAAAGCAAACTGATAATTGGGTGTTGCGGATAGGTCAAAGTGCGTACATAACAGCCACCCTTTTGTTCCGTATTTGGCCATGTGAATTATTCCCAACAAAGTTGCTGGTGTTGGTTAGATTTAAGCCAGGCAACTGGTTCACATAACTTTGCATGACAATGTGCTCGGAATGTGAAAGGTGGGCAGCAGATGAAAAGGGTATAGGAAAATGAGAGGCGACAACCAAAGCAAACAGGAAGCCGGTGACGAGATAAATGGTCGATTCCATGGGGAAGAATCGGATATTCTAAACAGAAGTATGTCTAAAAGTACGGCGGGCGAGCTTCCAGCTAAGAATACTTCGCACCAGCATTTAGATCGCCATCAGTTTTGATAGTGCAAAGTCGATTCAGACAGCCAGTCCAAGTTACCAAAGATGTCATCGAAGAGGCACTGAAGTAAGGGTATATCGTATACATACTGTGGGGCAGAGAATAAAGAGTGAGAAAGCAAGCGCTTATCGAACGCTGAAACGCACGTATACTCGTAGCGGAGCTGATGGAGTGGGAGTACAGTGGAGTGTACATATGAGAACGAACGTCACACACTTGGATAATTGCTAAAGATAGGTTCAAACTATCCAACAAACCAATCAGCAGTATCACGTTGAGTTTAAAGCTTATGCACGTATCCAGTGTCGAGAAATGGGAAAATTCGAAAATGGTGAAAATTGTGTAGTAGAGGAGAAAGACTACCATATGTAAGTTACTGTAAACTGCAATAGGATAGGACGCGCAGCACGGCCAAGATTTATGAGTACACTTTCAACTGCTTAATGTTGGTGAGTTAAAATCAACGATCTAAGGAGGGCCACTTCGTCGTCTGCCCCTCGGTTAGGAGTGCACATGGCTAAATTGATTGAGGTGCAGACCTGCACAACAGGAAACATGAATATGAGCTGAGTATACCAACCCAGCTAAAGAAATGAAAGTCAACACAAAATGAAGCAAGTAGGGAATTGGCGAACAGAAACCGACGCACACGGAAACACTGTGATCTGACTCATCCAATGCATAGCATTGAAACAGGCATCAGTCACATAACGGAGTCGGAACTGTACTCACAACCATGAGGATCTAACTATTGGGTCAAAGTGGTCCACAATAAATCTCAAGTTAAGAGGATGTATTGGTATTGTAATTCGACTCATCAAGCACAAAGATGAACGTTACTAACCATATGCCACGAATGACGCTGCAATAAGAATGATGCCAACAAGGAAACGAAAGCCCGCTAGCAGAAACAGTCGCTTTTCTAGAGGACATATACCGTGCACGCATCCACCGCAGCGGCCGCATTTGTGATCCTCATAACATCAGTATTTCATTTTATAGTGTATCAGTTAGCTTGAACAATCACCCCTACCATGCGTCGATGCAAATCTCATTGGACACCGTTTGCATCATTCTCTGGTTAATCAAGTATGACTGCATTGACTGAAACGCACAGTGGAGCACAAGATGTATCACATCAGCCTTGTTCGTTCAGTTTACTGTGTGCGCCGATCGCGGTGGATCACGTAGCACATAAACTACCGCAACAATGTGCCTCATTCTCTTCATACAAATAGTACTTGTATCATTCCATTTTTGCATCGCTTCCCTCGTGCTTTGACACCACTTCCTGAAGTTATTATATGTGTCACCCATTCAGACGAAATGGCTATGGCAGGGCGTTGCTGCGAATCGACCTCATTGCAATCTACCGTATTTTACATCTCGGTCACTGCCATATGTTGAGGCCGCTGCCTAAATTGCGAAAACCATGTACCACACGCGGACACTAGAACAGGCTTGCGATGCCGGACGTGAAGCGAGTTCCACATCCCCAGTGATTCGAACAGAAAGAGATGGAACAGTCTCAGAACAAGTCGTGGAGGGCAAATCTGTACAGCAGTTGAACACCTTGTTCGATTTACATTTCACCACCATTTGATTCAGAGAACGAGTGCACAATGGTATTTTTGGCCCCAATGATACTGTAAACCAGACATATTAAAATGCTAGGTAAGCAATTGAAGAACGATTAAATTTATCAACCGGTGGTAGACAATTTTTGTGACATTTTGACTAGATTTCGATACAGCTGCACAGATTTAACTGTTTACCTACGCCCATTAACCAAACGCGACCGAACGGTGGTGGTGAAACTAAGCCCCCGCCAAACGCTTAATGTCAATTAACTTATGTCAACTTTGGTTCCCTTAATGCGCTGCTGCAATCTCACCCGGTGACCGCCAGTATCCATGTAAACGGAGTTTGAGGATTGGACTGATACATTCCCATCCTCCTTGTGACTCTACTCTGCACGTGCAACTGCAAGTGAGCGAGTAGAAAAATGATTGCTTATCTACCCTGTGACTGCCTGCATTCGCAGTCATGCTGACGCCATATATTAGGAGTTGACCTCAAAACTAGCAGAATGCTGGGTTATCCGAGGTTCAGTGCCAGTTCATGTTTATCCTACATTTGTCGGTCACCTACTGAGGCCATTAACATTTTGCAGTAGACTAATGTGTACCGATGTAAATGCCACTTAAATTCCGATAAAATTTCATTCTTATCAACACTCGTTTACGAATATGCCTTAAAAGTATTGTTTTCCTTTCTTCCAATCGCAAATGGTCGGTAGAAGCATCGCGTACTCCAAATTGAATTCCACATTTGTAAACGATAGTCCCAACAGGTGAGAAGTTCCTACCTGGCATGAAAGATGGAAAATCCCAGACGAATAATCTAAAGAGATTTTTGTGTAAGTTCGTCGTAGTTAGACACAGGCAGACAGCCACCACACATCCAGGAAAGCGCTAGACGGCCGTTTCGTCCTATTCAGACTCGTCAGTAGCGCGCACCCGCCGAATCCTACCGGATTCGAACCCACGACCTTACTCTTGCGACGTATGTCACTGAGCCATGGGCGACAGCAGCGGACCGCCATGACTGATATCTAACCGCGATATAGTGCGGCTCATCCTCCACTGTCTTGCATATTATGAATGTGCAGAGGACAGGGCTGGCCCCCAGAGCAACAACTTCCTTTGCAAGCCGCCACCAATCGAGGTGGCATGTAAGCTGCTAAGGCGACTACTGATTATTTTAAGTAGTAGGGAGATAAAATGGGGGGGGATAAAATGCCTCGACTGGTGACGGCTTGCAAAGGAAGTCGTTGCTCTGGGAGCCAGCCCTATCCTCTGCACGTTCATAAAATGCAAGACAGTGGAGGATGAGCAGCGTTATATCGCAGTTAGATATCAGTCATGGCGGTCCGCTGCCGTCGTCCATGGCTCAGCGACATAAGTCGTTGACTCGCAAGAGTAAGGTCGTGGGTTCGAATCCGGTAGGATTCGGCAGGTGCGCGCTACTGACGAGTCCCAATAGGACGAAATGGCCATCCAGGGCTTTCCTGGATGTGTGGTGGCTGTCTGCCTATATCTAACTGCGATGAACATACACAAAACCTAATAAATCCCCCTACTACTTAAAACTAAAGAGATTTTGTGAGATTCGAATCAGTCGCACACCCTTTGATTCGCAATGTGCAGAAAATAGTCATATAAGAGTGACCAGCCCCTAATAAAAATAGTAACAAGATATATAGGGAGTTAGTTATCCATAAGATGTTGAGCCGAGTGCTAGAAATGAGTACCACCGAACAGTTGGGGATAACGTTTGTCCAATGAACCCTGACAACCCAGTCAGTACTTCCTTAACAGTTGAACAAATAAAAGAAGACAATGCAACACACAACAACGGTCTATTTCGTCTCCATCAACGTCTATACGCCGACAAGTAGATAACAACCAGATAAAATCGTTTTGGGGGATAATGTTTGTATTGCGCGCGCAACTAATACCAAATCCTTGGCTTAGTCACATATCTTTCACGTCTCTGGTGATACCAACCAATGACTTGGGATGCAATTGGATTGCACATACTCCTAAGTAGAAATATTTCAGCAAATCATCTTGTGTGTGATTCGACGTAGAAACACTAAATAATAAAATAGACGGCAATACGTGACACCGGAATTTTTAATATTAAGAGATCGTCGAGGAAGAAAATAAGCGGGAGTGAACACATTTGACTGGTGGGAACAAATGGGTATCGGTATCGCAACCGGTAATATGACTGATCATTTGGTCAGACGTTATAAACAAAGCAGTACGCTCGAACGTTGTGCGGATAGTTCGTTACGAAAAAGTCATCAAGAGAAGGGAGCAAGACTCCGAAACACTGCCAATGGCACTAACAGTTGGCCATTCTGTTGGAAAATAGTGAAGTTGTGGTTGATATCGCTCAGCAGGCAGAGTGCTTAGTTGATATTCCAAACAAATGCCACTCTGCGATGAAATTCACGATGGAAAGCGAAATGGGTAATAAGTTCCCCTTTTTGGGAGCAAAACTAAAGAGGAACCTAGAGAACATGACCATTAGGTCGGGGTATTACAAGCAAACTTGGACAGGACAGTACCACACATGCAACAGCTTCTGTCCTATAAACTACAGTTAGGCATTGATACTAGAGCTAGCACTTTTGTTGTGCAGCGACAATCAACAGTGAGCTGGAACGCGCGTCATCGATTCCGCGTAAAAATGGATACCCCGGAAGAGTACTAGCT